GATACCAAATATCTAAATAAAGGCTACTTAATTTTAATATTTAGTATTTGTGAAAATTTGTATACAAAATCGGCTAAACAAAGTTGGATTATCATTTGCATACTGCAAAACAGGGTAATCATTGATCACAGATAATAAAATTTCACTCTATCATTGATTGATTGATAAGATTACAAAAAAATTAACGACAAAAGTTCAGGAGTGGATTTTTTGGAATTTTATTCCCATTACAGCAACTATATTAAAAATAAAACTATAGCAAGCAATACCTTATAGGGCATACATATCAATGTCTTGCTATATTTATACACATATTATAGCAGGCAAATAATCTAATCTATCTCGTTAAAATAGAACTCAATATTACTGCCAGTTTTGGATGAATTTATTGAGAAATCATGAATACTTAAAAAATAAACAACAACGTTTCATACAGTTGAGACAGATATCAATTATGTATTTCGAGTTACTGGAGCGATTGAAAACACACTGTTCTAAGAAAATGATAAAAACAACTTATAAAAGGCAAAACTAACTACATAGAACGTAGAAAACAGTCAGGGCATTTTTGTTAATAAATTCATAATGTTATCGGCTATAATAAATTTATTTGAATAGTAAAATGTCCAATGTAGTTACGCAATGAGACGAGAGTACTACACATATATGCTAATTTGATTGCTCTCAAATCTCAATTTCCAAACTTCACCGAAGTATTAGCACGTATTAGTCCGTGTTTCTAACTGTGCCGTTTAAAATATCAAACAATACTTCTTCTTTCTTGTACGAGATTTCTACTGGACTGACAATAAAATTATTTGTTTACAGCCTTGATGGACTTGAATTTAAACTAAATGAAAACCATAAACGAAAATTTTAAAATTGTTGGTGGCTTAGATAGTCGAATATGGAGGAACTCTTGAGGAAATAAACAAAGAGAATGGTTACGGCTATACAACACCGTTACAAGGTGTCTGGCAATTTCGTCGAAGTTTCACCGAAAATATTCAGTGTATCTGTTGTAGTTTTGAAGGAATGCTAGTTAAATATTGGGTATTTTAAGTTTAAAAGAGAAAAAACATGTACAGTCGTAGACGGTATATTTTGAATTCAGTAAGTGTCAAATATAAACAAACATTAAAAAGTATAAAAATTGAATACAATAGGTTTTATGATTAGCCAGTTACAATAGTATCCAGGTGTATTTTTGTCAAACTTTCCGATCCCTCTACAATAGCAGCCATTGTCAGCAACGATTTAAAAGCAAACTAATGCGCCGTACATTCTGAGGCTCGAGTTAACATTTGTATCACTTTCATAATGAATATCGGACAAAATTGCTTTCGCGCTGAGATGTAATTGCATGTGTATGTTACATAATATATTGCCATAGTCCGAAACTAAGTGGCATCAGCGCTCAGATTACGGTTGATGTCCATAATCAAATGTTGACCTTCTACTCTAGACTCGAGATAATCTGCATAATAAAAGGCATTTGTTATTGACTGACTGGTCTATCCACTATGGTTCATACCAATGAACGGATTGCGCTGATCACAGCATCACTCAAAAACTAAAGTAGCCTACGTTTAGCAGAGCATGATCCTGAGGAGTGATGATTATGATTGTAGCGGTGATTCATTTCCCTTAAAAACTAATATTCAACCGTGGTAAACCCTCATAAAACCGTCAATTCGATATTAGTAAAACAATTAACTTAAATCTTTTGAATTCCATAATTACTTCGAACCGACTACAAATCGAGACAAGCTCCATACTAGCTGTTTTTAAACATAAAAAAGCTTTCTAGTCATAAAAAAAATATTGCTGTTGAAGCGGATACCAGATTCCATTCATGTTTTCCCATCATCCTTTGACACACATAGTTGTTATGATGTAGGCTTGCGCTAAGAGAATATTTTCCAAAATAACCCGAAAGGGATAAGTGGGTTCAAAGTCTGTTTAAGAAACTATAATTTTCACACAGATGAAGTCGCGGGCAGATTATACTCTGAAACCCTATAGATTTTATTATTCTTAAGATTGCATTACTAACATTATTTACAACTCAACATTGTTAGCTTAGACTTCAGAATTTCTCACTGTCCTGGAGGACTAGGATAAAAATTATTTTCATACTAACAAAGGCAATGTATTTTATGCTTTTCTCTAAAATCCAATTAGTGTTCTAAATCAATTAGCATAAAAATTTCACTTTCAATTCCCTCTTTTTTGTTGTTCAGCATAAATATTAAAATCAAGTTCAAGTACAACAAAATCTTCCAGGACCTTTATTCTTAGTGTAAGTAGCACCAAAGAGAATAATTGGCTCAAGTTAAATTTTACTATAACTTTAACCGGCCTCGCTTTGACAAATAATGCCACTGTCAAATTATGAACTCATTTTGACTATTGTGAAGCCAACGGAACAGCGGAACATTTTTTATTTGATTGTCATAAACTTCGATATTCTTTGTATGATGTCCTTCCACATGATGTACCTCGTCCCTTAAATGTTAAAAATATCCTACAATAACTCACCCTTACTCAAAACAATTATTAAATTTATACAATATAACTAATTAGATCTCACTATAATGGGAACGGGATAGCGTGCATTCGGGATCGAAATATAAGGTATACAGTGTTATAGGTCTAAAGTTATTAGGGATAGCGTGCATTCGGGCTACAAATATTAGGAATAATGTTCTTTAGAGATATAGTGATTCGGGGTTTCAATTATTGGTATTAAGTATAACAGTCATTAGAACTCTAATTAGCTACGTTTTTAACCTCTACTAAAATGTTAATTTTGTGTATTGTGATGTTGATGTTGTGTTTTGTCGTGAATTCCATAAAATGTGTCGTATTTCTTTACAGGGTCGTGACAAAATTTTAAAATAGTATTTTTAACCTTTCTTTCGGGAACCTTTCAAAGTTAGGGATTCGGGAGTTGATCCACGTTCAGAAAAAAAACCATTAAAAAAAGAAAGAAGAAGAAAACTATCGTCAAAGAGTGCAAACGCTTATTACCTGACCGGTACTATAACTGCACATTTAGAATTAGAGTAAGTTGGTGCAACACACGCTTAATAGATCGCAATATTTATTAATGAATATATCTCTTTCAAAACATCCAAATGATTAATGATAGCGCTGGTAGCACAACTTTCGACTTTCGTAATTGCTTCTGTCAACAGTCTGGACCACGTCTGGAGCAAATATGTTTTTCATCATGTAAGTGACTATGGGTTTGGAAAAAACACGTTCCATAAAGCACATTATGAACTTATCTGAATTAATTCCCAAATGTAATCGGTTCACTCGGTACACTTTGATATTGAAATTTTGCATCGGTATCTTTGTAAATGAGTGTGGAATACCAAATTTTGTTATCAGTACATAAGAATTAATTGCTACTTTTAGCTCGCTTAATGCAAGCGCAATCATTCATTGGCGAATTTCCACTTAGGTACTTATTTCGATTCTGAGTCCCTTCAAATTAAGTAAAACATACATTTTAAAGCATTTAAAAGCGACGACTTTGACAATTTTGAATGTTTCCAATAGTTTTCATTGAAGGTATTTTTATTTAAGTTGAATAACTACAAGAGGTAAATAAGAGCTCTTAGACTTTTTAGCGCTTAAAGCAGTCATCGTCATTCAAATTTATTACCTTAAATGAGTCGCAAAGTTTTAATTAGTCGAAACGCACGTTTACATCCAAATCAAACTATATTTTAAATGTTTGATAAATTTGCGACATGAAATTTACAGTTCTACGTTAATACGTTAATAAAACAAAATGTTAGTATTCAAATGCATTTGAAAGTCTAGTCGTCTGATGCGTCGTTCTATTAGATACGTATGTAAAATTTATTAGGCATGCTAAAATAAAGCTATTTTATTTCTAAAACTAAAAAAACTTTCTTGACAATCTTATTCTTTTCACAGTCACAAGTGCGCCACTGACTACAGTGGTGGCCTAGTGACCGGAATTTGAACTTTTAGTTCTTCTGTCAAAAAGTCATTGTGTGTTTATCTATCTCAAACACTAAGTAGTACTTTAATGTAGTGCTTTAATGTACTTAAGAAAATGTATTTCTAATACTTCACTAACTATACTGCTATCCTATAATAACTGTTTGTTTGGTGGGATGCGCAAATCTCAGTAACTACTGGTCCTAAGAGAAAAATGTTATTTTGGATAGTGGATTTATCAAGGAAAGCTATAGGCTATTTAACATAACGTTAATACTAATAGGAGGGGAGTAGCAATGAAAAATCTTGCAAACACGGGTTAAGATATCCCATTTCAAGGCACCGTTGCGTATTCTGCGTAAACGGTTAGAGTTATATAAAAATCATGTATGACGTTTTTGATTCCCTTTAAAACGTATGTCTATATTTTAAAAGTGATAAACTATACCCCTTTTCCTCAAATTAATGCCGGTGAAACCGCAGGGTACCTCTAGTATTACATACAATTAATTTAGCCTTCTGCACTCCTAACTTGTAGGTTTTATAAAAAATCTCACACTTCTCCAGCAAAATATGCTTCAAAAATGGTAGGACAATTAACCTTACCATATTTACAAACTATTATTCCATCCATAGTGGAGGCCTGTGCCCCAGCAGTGGGGACATTAATACGCTGATGATAATGATGGTGATATTTACAAAATGTTAAAATTAGTAGCAAAGAAAAAGATTTTTACATATGAATATTGTTTTCACGTTTCATACACATGGGATAATAAAATTAAAAACTTTTGTGGATTATCATTTAAAGATATTTTATAATTTCGGTCAAGATAGAAATTTCAAATTACAAAAATTCTGAAAGAGTAAAATTTTGGTGAAGGTACCCACCCCATCAGAATTCTTCCTCTTTTTTGTGTTATCTGTCTGTTATTTTTTTCTAGTAAAATGTCCAAAGTTTACAGTCTACTAAAGAGGGAAGGTGGATTTTTTAGGTTTTGGTTAACAAAAATACTGACCTTTGCAAGGTAGGCCTTCATGTAGAAGTTTCCGAAGAGTATGATGAAAGAGATCATGTAGATGATGAGGACGTAGTGCATCCAGAGGGGGAACTCGCAGCCGGTTCTGATGCCATTGATGCCGAGGATCAGGGCACAGGTAAACTGGATCTGGAGAAAATATATAAAAGATCACGCATTAAGGGCAACAAAAAAGATAGATTTTAATGAAGGATATCTTTGTCATTTCTTTAAAATTAAAAAAAATACATATACATAAAACAGAAGCCTTAACATGCTAGATTTTTAATTTATTTAAAAACTGCAGTGATATGTAAGTAAAATAGATGAAAAAAAAACGCATAAATATTATCCTATATTTTATTAGTGACGATAGCTAATGTCAATGTATTATCAAATGCTGCCAGTTGTATTACAAAAAAGTAAGATACAATTTTAAACAATGTTTAATAACATTTTGTATGACTTTTCTTTAAACTCGTATTGAACGCATGAATGACTTTGTTGTGTTAATAAGATTTTGTTTTGTCTATTGGTAAAATTTTCCTTTGTAATAGATAAAAAAGTTTCAAAGTTCATCTGCAATGATTTCAGTGGGCCTACAGCTGGCTAACTAAATAATTCATACGAAACTATTGAAATCTTCCATACCGCAGCATTCCCTGTGACCTGTGACCACCAACTCAACACACGTAACTTATTATTCAAAGGGTCGTGTATAATCAACCGTCAGGAACATGCGCGCGTTGTAGAATTATATTCAGAACAACGCCATGAGAGTACTATAAAAGAATAATTACATGATGATTGATAAAAAATAAAAGATTATGATAACCATTAACCGATCTAAGTGAGAAAATCAAACGAAAATTCAATACAATAATTTAAAACTTAATAAATTCAATGCTAATGCATCTGGTAGTCTAGAACTTTGTCGACTTCAAATGCGTGGAATAAGGGGTAATCCATTTAAAATCCACTCCTTTTCACCTCCTTTAAGGATGACTCCTGATAACAAAACTATCCTATGTCTTTTCCAGGGTCTCAAGTTATATATACCCAATTTCATCTAAATCCGTTCAACGGTTTAAGCTTGAAAAGATAACAACCAGGCACAGCTTCGCATTTACTATAATAAAAAGTGTGGAATCTATTTACGTCTCTACGGTTGAACACGGCATGCTACGAGTATTTTATTTCACCATATATCACAATAAATAAGCTTAGGTACTATATTTGAATTTAAAAAGGCAATATATGGTATAGAAATACAATTTGTAAATGCTGGCAGAGGAAGCGATAACAGAGGCATTGTATGATTCGAACACACATCTCAGTTGGCTAAGAGGAAATTAATTGTATTTGTCGTACCCATGTCGGTAACAGACATTACCTCCTACTACGAGTACACAAATACTTCGTATCCCAGATTCCCAGTCAAATTAACCGAACTGTTTATTCGAATAAATTCCATGAATAGGTCTTATATACGAGTACCTACTTTTTATAAATTACCGGGTCTTTTGCGTAAAATACTTGATGGTTTTCATGAACAAACTTTAATCGCCTAGATCATTTTCATTCAAAATAAACCGTTGCCGAGAATTCATAATATTTTGATTATGGATTCTATACGCACCTCTTTCATACATTTATGTACGAATAGCACCCACAATCGGAATCAGGTAATATTTTTTTCAGTTGATATAATCCCCTTTATATACAGACGCTTGACAACTGATCAAAACATTGGATCAAACGGAATGTACAATACTTGTGTGAATCAAAGCACCGGAATTCAATTTATAAATTCATATTATTGATTCAGATTCTGATTCAGACTACGTAAGGCCATCCTCACACAGACGTTAAATCGTCTCGATAACAACCGCCCTCAGAAAAAGTCGAACCTATAAAAAACAAAAGAACACCGATAAACGCTCCAAACGCAATATCATTTAAAGAACCTAAAATGTGAGAAAGAAACTATTTATTCTGAATTCTGAGAAAGGGATTGTATAGTATGTCTTGTTATTTTTATCACAAAGAGAACTATCTAAGTTGATGGTTATAAATTACACCCATTTTTTCGGTCGTGGCTACAAGAAGGTCAATGATTCTCATAACTTCGTTTGCTGTTTAGGAACAATATTTACAAGGTACTACTACTATTTTGGAACAAGAACCTAATGATGACCCTAACCTTCAACCGATTTACTAATTCATTGATAACATCGGTACTTCTCGATATTTTTTATTAAAAATAAAGTTTCTTACAAAACTTTGTTTGCGTACTCGATATGACATAAAACAATAAAGAAGTAATATGGGTGACTTGTTTTTAATAGCCATTTATAGTGACGTTGTAAAATTAAAAAGGAAATAAATTCATGATAAAATCCTCCTTCTATCTAAAATACAAGTACAAACATTTCGTGTTTGTTTGCCACCCCTTTAACATAAATAATGCAATAAATATATATATAGGCTATAATGTTGCAAAAAAAATCATTTAAGACTTTTGAAGTAGTGGCCTAAAGTGATTCTTTGCCCCAGTAAAATTAAATTAAATTTACTACCCCGGCGAGAATTGGTATCGGAAAAATAAACAAATTTGAGCTGTCAAGTTTTGTGATTGAAAAAGAATGGAAATTTTGAAATAAACTTTTTTATATTACAAAACCGTAATATTTTCAAAACAATATAAAACAAACTCGTTTTATTTTAGTTCTCAGATACAAAAATTAAAAATATATTTTATGCAAATTATGACATTCGGTTTATTTAATTGGAATTAGCTAAATTTGGAATAACGGTAGAAAAATATTTGCTTATTCGATCTGAAGTCATTGAGGCGAGCTCACCGAGCCTCAAAGCTTTTTACTTAAAAACCGTTTGATCAGCCCCAACTGCCGAAAACTTCCCGCCATATATATAATTGCCATAAACATTAGCGCCATAACGTACTGTTATGAGGCCGGCGCTGATCGTCTTTTAAAAAAAAACCCAATATTCCCGGATACGAATTTAATTAAAGGAGAATGCTCAGCTTCCATACATGTTTGGCCTAAAGACCAATAATCATGAAAAATTGTTTCCTAGATTCGAAATTTTGTATAAATTACTGTTGAAACGAATATTATTGACGGACACCCCTGAGAACTTCTACAAACCATATACACTGAACATATTAAAATAATAAAAAACAAAAAAGTTATATAGTAAACTAGGGAAATCAAGCCAAGTACCGAAATTATGGATTAGATTCAAGTATATAGAGCATGTAGATTAACAGATAGTTGCCTGTTTTTAAAGTTAATGCATAAGAGTAACTTTTAAGATGAGGTGTCGTTTCCGGTTATAATAAGGTACTCTGTGACAGAAACTGTGTGATGATTGTGAATGAGCCACAGATTAGAGATAATTTTTAAACTCTCTTTAACCAAAGAAAGCTAAGAGATTTAGGTTCTATAGCCATATTTTCAGTAGCTTCATTATTTTTGTTATGTTTTTAAGATAACCATATTTTAGATTTTTAGTGTATCACATTATAATGTTATTTATTTATTAATTTATAGTTAGGGAACGTAGGCCCATAGATAGATACCTTAAAGTCTAACATATATACAGATTATAATGTGTTTATGGAGGTGTTTGGCGAAAAATGTATGGCAATAGACTTTATGATGTCGCCTACCATCTATAATAATTGTCTGAGCAGATTTGCATCTAGTGAAAATGATAATACAGTTGTGGATATTAATACCACAGTGTAATAAAAAAAATGATTTATTTTATTGATCTATACAAAATAGATTTGTTTTTATGTTATATAAACAAGCAACTTCGATCAGTCTTTGGCTGAATGTTACTACACCCATAGCCATTAAAAATGATTCGTATGTTTTCCAAACCGGTAAAATTAAAAGCCCTTTTTAAAGTAAATATATTATACAAAGGTGTCCGTTGAAATCTAATGACTGTAAATTAAATTATAAATTATGCCAAGAATTACCATGTATGTCAATATTTTTTGTGCATTTAGGCCAATTTGAGCAATCTCCTTTAGATACACAAATACACACGCGAACTCGACTACTAAGTCCTGAGCTACACGGATGGACCGTTCTTTCCCGTTCCCAAAGTCTAACTGAACTGTGGGAACTGATGAAATAATGTGAGGGCTGCGTTAATGCAACTCTGCAGTTTAATTCTATGGAAAATTACAGTATAAGCATTGTTTGATTGCTAAGTCGGGTTCTAACAGTACGTAATGATAACTAAAAATCAGTACACATTTAACAATGACATTACGTACTCGCAAACGATATGAATTCGATAATGGTTCGTGCTATGGGTACTGATTGCCAGAAATTATTTATATGATGTTGATGTCCATATGAGATAAGAAATCAGACTCTTTGATGAGAAACATTTATTTTGTTGCGACGGCTTTGAGAGCGTTTGTTAAGTACCCTGCTGATATGCACTGTGATTTAGTCAACAAATGTATCTAAGAACTGTAATACAGGGGCATCTTCAAGCAGTCAGGATGGACTGCTTCAAGCTGCGACTGCATAGTGAACTAGTCTTCTACGTACAAATATAAAAAAACCACTCGAGTATTTGCGGCTGCTCGAGTAGTTGTTATGAATAGCAGCTTCCAATTGTTGACTTTGAATGCTCGAGCAGTCCGTGTATGTTGATCACTGGCCAACTGCTCGAGCAAATCATGTATGTTCGCTCTAATAATTCTGTTGGTCTAATGGTTGGTCACTCATAAAAACGGCCGCTCGGTAAAAATTTCGTTTGGAACATAAACCTCCAAAACATTAGTTCACACTTTATGCACTAAATCCACGTGGTGTTCAAAGATACAAATTTTCATACCCTTGTATGATCATAAGAACAAATAATATCTACCTTAAATATATTTATTTGAAATATCAAAAGTTCATATGAGCTGATAAGTCCATCGTTTCAAAGATAACTTTTTGCTGACTCTACAATGTAAACTGCGCTACTACTTACATATTGTTAAATCTTAAGCTCAGTCAATGACAATCCAATGATTCATCGGTGTTGCCTGAAATATATAATTCTACAATGGCAATAATATTACTAATTATTAATCAATGTTCTGCGATTGAATCACGTGAATAACTCCTACTCACTGACTCGCAATTAATATGACGCCTTATTAGAGAACTTTGAACTGTTGTCTAAATAGGTAATTATTATGTAATGTTTAAGAGCAATAAAGAAACAGAAAACTGACAAAAAATATACAAGAAATACTATGAAAAGCACTAAAACGCGCTATTAAGATGAAATATTTCATTACAAAGAAAGTAATTAATTTTGGCGAAATGGTTTCGCTATTTTATTGTCAACAGGATTCTAAAATATCTACCGTGAAAGTGAAAGTTTCGGCCCATTAGAGCATTATTAAATGTTTTGGTGATTGTCTTTCACTATTGATTTTATATGTGACAAAGGATACCACAGCAATGTTGAAATTGCCAATGGTCACAAGCTAAATGCATGTTGATAGATCTGAGATGACTTTAACTTTGATTTACTTGGGTTGGCATGGCACCATGAAGTTATATACATATATATATATGTATGTATGTATATATACAGGGTGTTTGGAAGATGAGTGCAAAGCTTTAAAGGAAAGCTAACAGAGATCATTTAGAAACATTTGAGCCTGACCATTTTATTTTTAATATTTTTTAACGGTTTTAAAGAAAAAAACCTAAAAGTACACAGTTAGTTCCAAGTATTGGCTAATTGACATAATAAATGAATTCTTTTTGATTTTATTTGATAAAACAAGTGTCAAAGCAAACTAAGAAAAAATGTTTAAAACATCTGAGACATAAATAATTGCTTCCCTGATAGCTGGATCGGCAGATATGGCCCAATCTTTTTGCCGGCTTGGTCACCTGACCTTACTCCAATGGACTTTTTCGTGTGGGGTCAGGCCAAGGAACTAGTTTACACTCATGTGGAGATAAACACAAAAGAACAATTAATAGAAAGAAGAAATGCAGCATTTCAAACTATGAAACAGGAGATGATGTTGAAAATAACGACAACGGAAGTAAGAAACCGGGCCCTTGCGTGTGTTAGAAATCGCAGCAAACATTTTTAACACGAAAAATAAGTGATTTCAGTTAAAATTTTGTTTTAATTTATTCATCTTAAATTTAAAAAAATCTTCCTTAATTAGCATTTCTGGTCTTAGTTTCAACAATTACTAAGCAATTTGCATAAACGATACCTCAAAAGAAAGTACAATAACTGAACATGTTTTTGAAAAGCTTTGAAGAAACAAAACACCCTCCGTGTTTTTTTTGTAAGCCTAAGATAAACAGCTTTTTACCATTTTAAAAATTTACGATAATTTTAAATATCTGTAATAAAATTGTTTGCTGATACAGATGTTTTAAACTCTTTTTCTTAGTTTGCTTTCACATTTGTTTTATGAAATAAATTAAAAAAGAATTCATTTATTATGTCAGTTAGCCATTATTTGAACGAACTGTGTGCTCTTAGGTTTTTTTTTAAAATCGTTAAAAATTATTAATAATAAAATGATCAGACTTCGTCTATGACAAGTATGGCTCAAATGTTTCTAAATGATCTCTGTTAGCTTTCCTTTAAAGCTTTGTACTCATCTTCCAAACACCCTGTATATATGTATATATAACTTCATGCATGACACCACCAAATGTTAATTTGAAATTAAATGTACTTTAGACAAGTTTGAATCTAACATGAAACTAAATGTTATAAATACTCTTTATTTACAAAAAAATGATATTTGATTTAAATTACCTACTTTAAAACCAAAAACCTTAAAAATATAATATAATAACTAAAATATGTTATTAAAAGGAGTCCCTTTATTCAAGGTTCCGAAGATACTGGCAGCGTTCCCCCTTTGAATAGCTAAACCACGGTAATAATATTATTACCGTGGCTAGACTAATTCTTTGTCCGAGGTAGCTGCCAGCTCTTCGGTCTCCTGTGATGTCGACTAACCTTTTTGGTATTTCCTTAAAAAGCCATATAAGCCTTTCAGCCTCAGCCTTATATCAGCCTTTAGACAAGTAAAGAATATGTATTTTTTTTTTACTTTTTAGTGGTTTTGTTTTCATGAAGTCGGTTTTCGAAACAAAATATCTAGAAGGATTTGTCAAGCAAACGTCCCATTGGTATAAAGAGCTTGAAAAATATTATAGCGTGGTACCCATGCTCTTAGGGTAGTGTCGCTTACCATTAGATCTTTTCTATCAAGGACTTGAATAACCCATTTAGATTTTTTCTTCATTTTAATATATCATAATGAAATAAATTTGAAATTTTAAAAGAGGGTTTAGAATTCTTACCAGTTGCATGATGGTCAAGTATTTCTTCCACCACAGATACTTGCTAACTGCCGGGCCAAATACGGACAGACCATAATACGTGTACATAAGGACGTGAATCCCACTGTTCACCATTGCCGGCAAGAACGCTGAAAAAAAAAGGGGGGTTTTATACTTTATTCGAAAAAAAAACAGTAGTTATTCGTGATTGAGTAACAAACATACAAACTTTCCCATTTATTATATTAGTAGGATCTCGAGTAATATTGCATCATAATGATTGATCTTTACATGATAGTAAATTCTTTATTCAATAATAACATCAGTCAACACGAATTTTGAGTCTAAGTTTTTTAGAGCAGGATTTGTTTTCTTATACTTATTGAATGTGAAGAATAAAAAAAATATTTAAAAGGCTTTTATAATTATAATAATGAAATTTTGAATTAGATAGAAAATTGCTAGCTTTTTTTCTTTGAGTTGTATGTAATAAAGAAAATAAACATTTATTTATTTAAATCGCTTTTGTTTCAATTACCCAAATTTTTTATGCAACGGTGCCATTAAAATAAATACCTAGTCATAAATTCTGTCACATGTTTAGTATAAAATAATTGAAACAAGTTTATTCATTATGTAACCATTTATATACCAAAATGAACTTTACAAAACATGGATTCTTATGACATAAAGTTTATTCAAAATGACCTCCGTGATTTTGAATACAGGCCTTCAATCTGCGCGGTCAGTCGTCTATCGCAGCACGAACGAGGTCCATGTCAATATCGGCGGCTGCCTTAATCAAGGATGTCTTGAGTGACTCCAAATTGGGATGAGGCTTTGAGCACGCCTTTTCCTCCAAGTGTTGCCATATCTTGTAATCTAACGGACTCAAATCTGGACTGGAGGAGGGCCTGTTTTCGTGCAGGATGAAGTCGATTTCACGCGCCTCCAGCCAGTCTTGTGTGCTCTTCGCTCTATGAGCTGGCGCCGAATCTTGTTGGAATACCCAGTGCCTGTTATTGAACATGGTATATGAAACACGTTTCACAAGGTTCGTCAGGACTGTATTTTGATACACAACTGCATTCGTTTTTACACCTTTCTCACAAAAATGTACCTATGTTAAGCCCCAATAAGAAACTACCAACCATACCATGAGCGAGGATGGAAAATGACTTCGTTGGACACGCGGAATACGGTTGCTCGCTTCTTCACTACTGCGTGCGTACACCTTATCATTTTGTTTGTTGTAGTTCTCTTATACGGTAAAAATTTTTTCATCCGAAAAAAGATACCGCTTCCACAAAACGCGGCATCTCTTCAGTCTCAGGTCCATTAGACGAGCATTCAAACGATGTCCTGTTTTTCTTCGATATGCCCGAAGCCCTAAGTCTTCATTTAACACCCTTTTCACCGTGGTTCTCTGGACCCCATCTGTAGGGCCAACAGATTCTGCTTACGTTTGGGATTTCTTTGAATTCGCGCCTTCACAGCTTTTATCACTGCTGGAGTCCTACCGAGGGCGACCACTTCTTGAACTGTCATCTACACTAGAGTCTTCATTGTATCGTTTGATGGTACGATAAACGAATCTTTTGGTTATATTCAAATTATTCAGTATGGCAAAAATATTTAATTGGCGCGTAACCGCAACGATGCAACGTATTAACTGCAACACGGTCTTCTTTAAGCGTCCACTCCATATTTAAAAATGAGTAAAATTCTAAAAATGAAACATTTTTATTTTCATGAATAATTCGAAATTCAAATTCAATAAACATTTTTGTGGCCAGCATTTTAAAAGAAAAGTTTTTAATGTGTGACGGTACTTATGACCTGACTGTGTATATATATTACATATAATATTTTCCAAATTGTACTCCATCTCTTCTTGACCTCATAATAGTCTCCTCCCCCACGTTGGCTGCTAAGCACGGCCAGTATTCTGCAGACGCATTTTCCTATCATGATTTGGTGTATCTTTCTTACCGTATCCGTCCTCCCAAATTAAAGCCTACAGTTCAACTTCAGCGCAGTTTTGCTAGGATTGATCAAGAACAATTGCTTGAGGATGCTGCCAACATAGACTGGTCCGCAATCTTTGCTACTGAGTCTGTTGACGAACAGATTGAACTTTTTAACACGCTGCTGGTCGAGTTGTATGACGTGCATGCTCCTGTTTCTCCTGTGAAAATGAAACACCTGCTGGCTCCGTGGTTAACTGATGAGATTCGTAAGGTAATGTCAAAAAAAAATAAAGCTAAAGCGAAGTTCAAAGTTGATCCTTCCAACCTAAATGAAATAAAATATAACCGTATCAGGAATCGGTGCAACACTATGATCAGGGACGCCCAAAGACGCCATATTCATAACTCTGTTGAAAATGAAGATCCTGTCAAAGTTTGGAAATTTCTAAAATCTCTCGGGGTTGGCAAATCTTGTAGCATTAATCCTGTTAACAATCTTGATATCAACCAACTTAATAGTTATTTATCCAGTTCTCTGCCTCTTGATGGGAGCCGTAAGGCTGAAACTTTACAACGTCTTTCTAATTTGCCAACTCCAGATTCTTCCTTTTTCTTACATCAATTTACCGATTGTGATGTTAAGAGAACCATAAAAACAATCAATTCCAGTGCAGTAGGAAGTGATTCTATTAGTCGAAAAATGATTCTTCCCATCCTCGACATCCTAGCTCCCATTATTACCCATATTCTCAATACTTCAATTTTGACCGGTGTGTTTCCTGCAGCCTGGAAAGACGCTAATGTTATCCCGATTCCTAAAAAATCCAATCCTGCCTCTTTTTCAGAATATCGTCCTATTTCCATTCTTCCCTTCCTTTCCGAGGTCCTGGAAAAACTCGTATATCGCCAACTTATTGTTTTCCTTAACCAGAACCAACTCCTTAACCCATATCAATCTGGCTTTCGTACGGGTCACAGCACATCTACTGCATTAGTTAAAATTGCAGATGATATTCGACATGGTATGGAAGAACGCAAACTTACACTGCTGACATTGCTTGACTTCACCAACGCCTTTAACTCCATTGATTTTGACATCCTTCTTGCTATTCTTCGTTCTCTTAACATATCTCCAATGGTGATTGATTGGTTTCAAAGTTACCTGCTAGGGCGCCGGCAGCGTATACGCATAGAAGAAAACTTCTCTGCGTGGTGCGTTATTGATGCCGGTGTTCTCAGGGTGGCGTCTTATCTCCTTTACTCTTCTCTATTTTCATAAATTCTATCACACACTCACTTTTCAGTTCCTATCACCTTTACGCCGATGACCTTCAAATATACACACAGGCGCCGTTATCTGACCTTTCAGACGCAATAGCTGTTACAAATTCTGACCTTGCTTTGATTAGTAACTGGAGTAAGTCATTCGGCTTAACTGTTAACCCCGCGAAGACGCAAACTATTTTAATCGGCAGCCCTTATTTCACTTCCAGGATCAACTATGAACGGCTGCCTCCTGTAACTTTTGATGGGATTGTTATACTCTTTTCCACAACTGTCAAAAACCTTGGTGTGATATTTGATCACTGTTTCTCTTGGAAACCTCAGCTCGAATCTATAAGAAAAAAAATATTTGCCGCATGCAACTCACTTAATCGCCTACGTAACTTTTTGCCGACCAGTACTAAAATCACTCTGGCGCACACTCTTTTACTCTCCATTCTGGACTATGCTGATGTATGTTACACTGATCTTTCTGAGGAACTGCTAAGCAAGTTGGAACGTTTGCAGAATATAGCTATCAGATTTATATATAATCTCCGTAAATTTGATTATGTATCACACTTCCGCTCGAAACTCAACTGGCTCCCTATTCGCCGGCGCAGGGACTTACATACTCTTACGCTTCTTTATTCTGTACTTTTCCTACCTACTTCTCCACCTTATCTAAAACAATGCTTCTCTTTTCGATCATCCAACGCCAACAATGCATTCTACGCTCCTCTTCTAATCTTACTCTAGAAATACCTTGCCATTTCCTTTCTTACTCCTGCTCTGTGCATTCTGTTCGCTTGTGGAATTCATTACCGGAATCCATACGAAGGGCTCGCACTCTGGACTCGTTCCGTGAGCAAGTTAAGCGTCATTTCCTATCTTTACTTTGAAAATACCTCTTTCCTTTATTTATTTGTTTATTTTTTTCATATAAATATGCATCTATATTATTATTACCGTTTTTATTTTATTTTATAATATTGCTCTTACACCCTTCCCCTTTTTTTTTTTTGTTCTTTATACTTATTTAATTTTCCGTCATGGGTTGCCTGGAAGAGATTGCTATTAAGCAATAAGGCCGCCCATTGTGTAATGTCTCTCTGTCAGTGTAATCTTACTGTTATGTCCATTGTGGTGTTATACAATAAAGAATATTATTATTATTATATATTAATATATATAAAATACAAGGAATAATGCTAAAGACTATTGTACCATTAAAAATTAAATGAACGTACAAAGATGACGATAAAGGAGTATTTAAGCACTGTAATGTAATTAACGTAAATGATAAAATTAAATATTTCAACCTTAAAGAGCAGACTGACCGAGACAAATTGTTAATCCATTATCAAAGGCCATTAAATCCTAGGAACTTAAAAAATAATAATTTATTTATTACTACAAAGTACAACAATATTTATGGTACCAGAACTTCTAAGTATTTGTTACCCTTATTCACCAATGAAGTACCAGAGGCTATTCAAAATAAAATAAAATCTTCTAGAGCCTTTGTTACAATGTTAATAAAGTACACACATCAAAAGTGTCTAGGGATCAACATATATTTTTGCAATAACTTTTCTCCTGATTGATATTAATTAAAATTTTCTTTAAGGATTCATCAAATAAAGTGTTTTCGTTTGTCACAGTAACGATAAACCAAGTCACCTTTGCATTAATAAAGAAATTTGCCATTTTCCTAATAAAGGGATTTTTGACATTTGAACCACTAACACAAAAGTTCGAAAAAAAGACTGAAATAACAGTTTTCTCTAAAATTTTATTGGGTAACTTAAACAATTAATAATCCGTATTTCTACCGCGAACACTAACAACACAAGAACATCGGTTTGGCATACTCAAAATGAGTTCATCCAAATCACGCTGTGGAATGGCCGCCC